CCTCCCCTCCCCTCCCCTCCCCTCCCCTCCCCTCTCCCTTCACACTCCCCTGCTCCTCCCGTGCCTCAGTTTCCCCGCCAGCTCGGTGTCCCAATAAATGAACCAACCACCTCCCGCCTCCTGCGTGTGAGGAGGGGAAGGGATAGGTTGGGGCCACCAGGAACCCCCCTCTCTGTGCCAGGCTGTGTGCCAGGGTGAGCTGGGGTGGTGGCAGTGTGGGGGGGCAGGTGACAACCAGCACCTTCCTAAAAAAAAGCCTTTATTGCCCTAGAAAAGCCCCGCAACCCCCGCGGCTGGTGCCAGCCAGGGGGCACCGGGGGTCACAGTGAAGGTGCCACAGAGGAGGTCACCCAGCACGCCCCCCGGTGCCCCCCAGTCCCAGCTGTGTCCCCGCATCAGTCCCAGCCGTTCTCCTTCACCATGTGCGACATCTCGATGATGAACTTCCCCTCCTTGTACTTCTGGCTGCTCTCGAACGCCTGTTCCTGGGGGGGACACGGAGTCAGCCCCCCGTGCCCCCATGGGCGCTGCCTTCCCCAGGCCTTGGGGGTGTCCCCAGCAAAGGCTTGGGGTGCCAAGATGTGCCCAGGGCAGGGCTTGGGGCGCCCAGACTGGGGTTGGGGCCCCCGGGCAGTGCCCGCAGCAGGTAGGGGTCCCAGCTGGGGGGCACTCACGTATTTCCAGCCCAGGGTGGTCTTGCAGCTCTGGCAGAAGATGTCGGCCACCGAGTGCAGCCCCGTCAGCAGCAGGCGCTGCTCGGCCGGGCCGCAGCCCACGTTCACCCTGCACCGAGAGGGGCGGGTCCCACAGGCTCGGCACGGGGGGACCCCCGGGCTCCCCCTCCCCACTGCCAGCCCCGCTGCCCCCGGTACTCACACGGAGTTGAACAGGTAGGCACGGCCGTGGCTGCCCTGGAAGGACTGTGGGGACACGGCGAGTGTCACCGGCGGGTCCCCCACGTCCCCCGGCACCCCTCCCTCCATGGGCTGCTCCCATCCCGCCGCACCGCCGCCGTGCGGCACACCGGCCTGGGGACACCGCGGGGGACACCTGCCAGCTCGGGGACACTGAGCGGGGGACGGCCACCTCCGTGGGAGCGCCATACGGGTCACCCGGCACCGGCAGGACACCGCGCCGTGCATCGCAGGGGGAGGACGCTTCCTGCCTTAGGGCAATGCTGGCCACCGCGGGAACGTCCTCATCCCGGGACACCGCGGGGGGAGCACCCACCACCCTGGGGACAACACAGCGGGACACCTGGGGCACCGTGGGGGGAAAATCGGCACTCTGGGGACGCGGCGAAGGGACGCCCGCTGTCCCAGCACACGAAGGCGGGGGTGGCGGTGGCACCTTGGAGATGAGCTCCTCGTGGCGGGCCAGGTGCGCCCGGCAGTGCACGCAGCTGTAGGTGCGGTGCGAGCGCGGCAGGTAGCTGCGGAAGGTGCGCGGCGGCAGGCGGGCGGCGGCGGGCAGGCGGCGGCGGGCCGGGGGCGGCATGGCCGGGGGCAGCGCCCCGGGGGGCACCGCGCAGCCCCCGCACAGCCGCTCGCAGGGGAAGCAGCGCAGCAGCGCGCCCAGAGCCGCCGTCCCGCCCGGCTGGGCTCGGGGAGCTCCGCCGGGGCCCCCCGGCAGAAGGAGGTGGAAAAGGGGGGCGGCCTGCGAAGGAGGAAGGGGGGCGGTGAGGGGGGACCCCCTCCTCAGCGTGCCAGGTGTGGGCGCTGCACGAACCGAGCTGGCTGAGAGCGGAGTGACACCGGGGCAGCGGGGACACCGGGGGGGGGGCACCGGGGACCCGAGGGACTGCGGGAGGAGGGGGCGTCCCAAACTGGGTCTAGGGTCTCTTCTCGAAGCGTGGGGGTCCCCGGAAGATGATGGGGGTCCTGAGGGGGAAAACTGCGGGTACCGAGCGGGGAGAATGGATGATGGGAGTCCCGACGGGAGATGATGGGGGTCCTCACGGGGTCGGTTGTGGGTCCCGGGAGGGATGGCGAGGGTCCCCGGGGGGCGGGAGGGTGCTGGGGAGATACTTGCGGTGGCGGTGAAGAAGGACGGGGATATCGCCGTGGGGAGGGGGCAATGTCAGGAGCGCTGGGGACACGACGGGGGGCTCGGCGGGGCTCCGGGGGTCTCGGGGGGACACGATGGGGGGTACCGGGTTCCGTGGCTTCCCGGGGGCCGGGGCCGCTCACCGCCCGGCGCTCTCCCCGCTCTCCCCGCTGCCGCTGTCCCCGGGGCGGGCGCGGGGGGGCCCTGCGTGCCCGGGAGCCGCATCACGGCACCGTGACTCATCCCGCGGCCGTGACGTCACCGCCCGCCACCACCGCCGTGACGTCACCGCCCGGCCCTCCGACGTCAGCCCGGCCGCGGCCGCCGGGGCGCCTCCCGCTGCCTCCTGTCGCCCCGCGTCCCCGTGTGCTGCCTCGTCCCCAGTGTCCCTCCGTGTGCCCCTGTCCCCTCATGTCCCCGTGTCCCCGCCGTGAGATGTATATGGGGGGGGGCGGGTGTGCGCGTTAATGTCGTGCGAACGTCATGTAAACGATCCTGGGACTCATCCCGAGGGATGAAGGGGGGAGAGGGAGAGCCCCACTGTAATGAGATGCAAACTCGAGGAGGGGCCGCGGGCTATATGCAAATGAGATGCAAACTAGCCGCAGAACGGGCAGGACGTGCCCCCTCCCCCACGTGACCCCGGCGCCCCACGTGATCCAGGCAGCCCGCGCTCCCGGCGCGCCGCTCTGACGTCACTTCCGTCGCGGCGGCGGCTGCGGCCGGGGGACGCCAGGCCCGGGACCCCCGCGTCGCCGTCATGGCGGACGATGGCGGCGAGGAGAAGAAGCAGGTGGCCAAGTTCGAGCTGGAGCGGGAGACGGAGCTGCGGTTCGAGGTGGAGGCGGGGCAGACGGTGCAGCTGGAGCTGCTGACCGGCATGGCCGAGGTGTTCGGCACCGAGCTCACCCGCAACAAGAAGTTCACGTTCGACGCGGGCGCCAAGGTGGCCGTGTTCACGTGGCACGGCTGCACCGTGCAGCTCAGCGGCCGCACCGAGGTGGCCTACGTGTCGCGGGACACGCCGATGCTGCTGTACCTGAACACGCACACGGCGCTGGAGCAGATGCGGCGCCAGGCCGAGCGGGAGGACGAGCGCGGGCCCCGCGTCATGGTGGTGGGGCCCACCGACGTGGGCAAGACCACCGTGTGCCGCCTGCTGCTCAACTACGCCGTGCGCCTGGGCCGCCGGCCCACCTTCGTGGAGCTGGACGTGGGGCAGGGCTCGGTGTCCATCCCCGGCACCATGGGCGCGCTGTACATCGAGCGCCCGGCCGACGTGGAGGAGGGCTTCTCCCTGCAGGCCCCGCTCGTCTACCACTTCGGCTCCACCACGCCCGGCACCAACATCAAGCTCTACAACAAGGTGAGCACGGCGGGCTCGGCCTGGCTTGGGCACGGCCCCGGAGCTCCCCGGGGTTTCCCTGTGCTGCGGGACGTCTGAATGCCCGGGGTGCTGTGTGGGGACAGCAGAATGCCTTTTAAAAACAGCACGGGGACAGCAGAATGCCTTTTAAAAACAGCCAGCCACCCCTTCCCAGCTGTCGGGTCAGGGTGGGGAGGGAGTCCAGAGGACGACACGAAGGTGATGAAGGGAGCTGGTGCACTTCCTCTGTGGAGACGGGCTGCGGCAGTTCAGCCTGGAGGAGGACAGTTTGTACCCTGACTTCAGAGCAGTCTTTCCATCCTGGGAGCCTGCAGGGAAGCCGGAGAGGGATTATTGTCAGGATCTGGAGTGGTACGATGGGGTGGAATGGGTTCACAGCGAGAGGAGACATTTAGTCTGGATATGGGAAGAAATTATTTTACTGTGAGGATGGTGAGGCCCTTCAGGGTTGCCTAGAGAGGCTGCGGCTGCCCCAGCCCTGGAAGTGCCCAAGGCCAGGCTGGATGGGGCTGGGAGGAACCTGGGCTGGTGGAAGGTGTCTCTGCCATAGGGAACTGGATGGGCTTTAAGATCCATTCCAAGCCAGACCATCCTACAATTCCACCATTTTGCCCTGGGTGGCCGTGCGGAATCGAGGCCTTGAGGGTCCTGAAGGAGCTGGGGACAGCGTGGGGACACGGGTGCCTCTGTGTGACCCCTCCTCCTCCCACAGATCACGTCGTGCCTGGCCGACGTCTTCAACCAGCGCTGCGAGGTGAACCGGCGGGCGTCGGTGAGCGGCTGCGTCATCAACACCTGCGGCTGGGTCAAGAGCTCGGGCTACCAGGCGCTGGTGCACGCCGCCTCCGCCTTCGAGGTGGACGTGGTGGTGGTGCTGGACCAGGAGCGCCTCTACAACGAGCTCAAGCGGGACCTGCCCCACTTTGTGCGCACCGTGCTGCTGCCCAAGTCCGGCGGCGTGGTGGAGCGCTCCAAGGACTTCCGCCGGGAATGCCGGGACGAGCGCATCCGCGAGTACTTCTACGGTTTCCGTGGCTGCTTCTACCCACACGCCTTCGACGTCAAGTTCTCCGACGTCAAGATCTACAAGGTGGGCGCGCCCACCATCCCGGACTCGTGCCTGCCGCTGGGAATGTCGCAGGAGGACAACCAGCTGAAGCTGGTACCGGTGACGCCGGGGAGGGACATGGTGCACCACCTGCTGAGCGTCAGCACCGCCGACAGCCCCGACGACAACATCTCCGAGACCAGCGTGGCCGGCTTCATCGTGGTCACCGGTGTGGACCTGGAGCGCCAGGTCTTCACCGTGCTGTCCCCGGCTCCACGCCCCCTCCCCAAGAACTTCCTGCTCATCATGGACATTCGCTTCATGGACCTCAAGTAGGGGAGGGACGGGATGTGCCCCCCGCCTCCTCCTTCTCCTTCTCCTCCTCTTCCTCCCTGAGCCCCCTCCTTGTCCCCCCAGCGCGGTGTGACCCTTTGGTTTTATACTTTTTGTACAGTTTGCTATTAAATCTGGAAGCCTTTGCCGCTGGTGAGCGTCTGCTGAGGGAGGGGTTCCCGAGGGGAGCGGGGATTGCCGGCCCGGGCTCCCCGCGCGCCCACTGTGGTACGTCCCGCGCACGCGCAGAGGCTCCGGCCGTGGCCCCGCCCGCCGCGGCGTGAACGCACACGCCCGCTCCGCTGCCATGCGCATGCGCGCCGCCGCGGCCGGGGCGGGCCGGCGGGAGGCGGCCAATGGAGGCGCGCGGGGGGGCGCGGTGCGCACGCGCGCGCGTGACGTCCCGCCCGCCGCAGCCGCCGCCGTCCGAGCCCGGAGCCGCCGCCGCGCGCGGCCTCCTGCCGGTGAGTCACGTGGGCCGCGCCGCCCCGCAGGGACCCCGCCGCTCCGGCACCGCCGCCGCCTCCCCGGCCCGACGCTCCCTCGCGCCCCTTGCCGCGGCCCGGCCGCCACCGCCCCCGCCGCGCCGCTGCCCCCGCGGCTCCTCCCGCGCGCGGCTCGGGCCGTGCCCCCTCACGGCGCCGCGGACCCTCCTGCCCGCCGCCCCAGCGGGCACCGACCCCCGCCCGGCCCGCCCCTCTGGCCGCGGCTCCGCTCCGCCGTTCCGCACGGCCGCCTGCCCGCTGGCCGCGGTGCCTCTGCACGGGAGCGCCGCTTCCTCCTGCCCCGGCCGCCGCGCCCGCGGCGCCGCCGGCACCGGGACCTCCTCCTGTGCCGCGGGGAGCCGGGCCGGGGGCTGAGGGAGCGGCGGTGCGGGGCTGGCGGGGAGCGGCGCCCCGCGGGCCGGGGCCGCCCCTGCGCACGGTGCGGGGCGAGCGCACCGGAGCGGGGCTCGTTCCCCGCCTGGAAACCGCCCGGGGCCGGGGAGCGGCCGCAGGGAGCCCCCGGGGACTCGTGCGCTGTCCCGCACCCGGCCTGGCCCCGGTGCCCCCGGGAGCGCCGCCCTGCGCTGCTTTGGGGCACCGGAGCTCGGCCCCTGTGCCGTGGTCCAGGGGAGTTTACAGCACGGCCTCTCCTCACGGCACCGGTACCGGCCCTGCTCCGGCTTTGGGCAGCGCTGGCAGCGGTCCAGCCTGGCCTTTCCTCAGCATTCCCAGATTCCCAAAATCCTGAGCTGTGCCGGTCCCCAGCCTCGGGGTTCCGCCCCCCTCACCGCGCCGACTGGGGAGGGGATCGGCTGCCCTGTGCTCCCCGTGGCTCTGGGAAGTGGTTCCCCCGGATCTGCCGGCTCCCGCCCCGGCACTCGGCTGGATTTGGGCTTCAGGGATTCTCCGCACTAGGGGCTGCTCGGGTTTTTTGGGGTGTGTGAAGTACAGCCAGAGCCTTGTCTCTATCAGAGTGGGAGTTATCTTGGAGCTTCTTTCTGAGCTTAATCCAGTTATCACCGTCCTTCCGCCGGGCCCAGGTGCTGCTTTAGCAGGCATTTATTCCCGTTGGTTCCCGAGGCCGGGAGCCCCGTCTGGCATTGGAGAGGGTGGTGGTTGGGTGGGTCCAAGGGAGACCTTGAACTCCCCTGCGAGGGGCCTGTTTGGGGACATTCCCACCTGTTGCTGTGCCCGGTGTCTCCTAACACAGTGACAAGAGGCTGGCGCTGTCCTTGCTCACTGTGGGGCCCGTTGGGATGCGGCCTCAATGGATAAGGCATTGTTCCTCCTGCTTTGCCCATAAAATGGGGCTAATCCCCTGTAAACCAGAGGGATGGGCTGGGGAAGGAGGATGGGAGCGGTGTAAGCCCTGGGCAGGAGATAAGCATGCAGTGATTCCAGCCTTCTGGCTGTCTGCAGTGGAATATTTCTCCATGTTCTGTGTTGACCCTTCTGTACATTCACCTGGGAGAAAGGCGGGTGTGCAGGATGCCCCTGGAGCTGAGGGGTGGCCAAACATACATTGCTGTGCATCCTCCTTTGGAATTAAGAGCAGGGAAGTGTCTCCAGACTGCTCTGCTGGGGCAGGTGCTCTGGTTTGGACACAGGGCAGTGACCAGTGGGGATCTCACGCTGGCATTGCTCTGGCCACAGTGCCAGGTTTGGGAAAATTTGCACTTCCTCTGATGGATTTTGGAGTGTGAAGTGTTAGCTGGTCGTACAGGACAGGGTGAGCAGAGGGAGCTGCAGAGGGAGGTGGGAGGTCCTTGTTCCCTGGATGCCCCTCACTCATGGTGCCAGGCAGTGAGCTCTGGAATGGCGCTGTGGAATTTTGGGGTGCAGCCGATCAAAACAATGTGGGAACAGGTGAAGCACATCCCATCTCCGTGCAGCTGGGATCTGCCCTGTCTGGGAGTTGCCTCACGTGGAAGGAATTGTTTGTGTGTTTGCCTTGTGCCATGGGAACTCGGCTGGACCGGGGCGGGTCGGGAGGTGCGGATCCCAGCGGGCGGCGCAGGTTTGGGAGCCGGTAACCGGGAGGGAACTCTGTCCTGCCTGTGCCGTGGTGGCAGGAGCCATGGTGGTTGATGCATTTCCTCCTTCCTGGACGGGAGCAGAGTGAGGAGCTGAAGTGAGGGTGGAGGGAATGTTGGGAGTTGGAGACACGTGTGTCCCCATCACAGCAGAGGTGGGGAGCGCCTCATGCTCCAGAAAGGAAAAAGCATGGAGCACCTGTCTACATGTGGGAAGGCTGGAGAGGGGCTGGAGCAGATGAGCAGAGTGGGGTGGGAAGCAGGGAAGGAGGAGCACAGGGCTGGGAGGGGAGGAAAAGGAGGAAATCTGTGAGGCTTTACAGGGCCTTGAACCAAGAAAAGGAGACACAGGCTCAGAGAAATGGAAGGTGGCAGCAGTCGTGCTTGCACGTATCTCGAGGGAGGGGATTTGGAATTAAAAGAAATTCCCAGAAATGGAGATGAAGCAAACAGGAGCAGCGCCCTTGTAAGAGTGGAGGGAAACCCTGGAGAGTGGAGATATCTGCTCAGGAGGTGGCTGAGCAGAGTGGAACTGAGAAAGTGCTCCAAAAGGAAGGTGCTGGGATGGGAAAACCAGGTGGAATTTCTGAGGGTGAGGGAAGGGGGAGTGAGCAGTGACACAGGCGCTGTGGGAGGAAGGAGCAGGGCAGGTCTGGAGGAGCAGTGGGAGAGGAGGAGTTGCTGGGCTGGAATTGGCAGAGGGAAAGGAATGGAAGGCAGGAGCAAAGCCCGTGTAGGCCACAGGTAAGCAAGATGAGTTGGGGGCTCTTTGGAGCAGGGAAGTCTGAGTGGGCTTTGTGGATAGGGACAAAGTGGCCAGTGAGACAGGGAATTTGGGGCAAAGGTGGAGGGAAAGGAAGGGTTGGTTGACCAGAAGTGGGCAGGTTGTAGGGCTGGGAAAGGGGATGGCTGGGAAAGAATATGTGTGTTTGGGAGAATTGTGACCTGAATTACTGTAATCTGTGGGAATTTGAGGTGGATTTTCCTTATATTTTTCCTGGACCCCTTAAGGATTGCAGAGCAGAAATCCTGGCACACTGTGCTGCACTTTGACAGCTTCTGCCCAGGCCTCTGCAGCAGGGCTGGGGCTGGGGAGTCCTGCGGGGTTTCAGCATGCCAGGGGGATCAGGAAGGCATTCCCAGGAGCAGTGTGGTGCTCTGGGAGCTGGAATGGGCTCCTGTTTGATGAGTTGTGGAGTTATTCTGGGCACAGGCAGCTGAAGCAGGGATGCATTTGCATCGCTTCTCACTGGGATGTCCCTAATGACAGCACTGGGGCTCTCCCCCTGCTCGTGGGGCTGTCCCATGGGTACCTGATTCCATGGGGAGCTGGCTCTTGCATGCGCAGCTCCACAGAGATCACCCAGTGGAAGGGCTGGAGTGCCTGGATCTCTGGCTGGGAGGGCTGGGACAGAGCAGGGCCACGAAGCGCATGCCCATGGCACCCTGTGAGGGCAGGGTGGGGATCTCTGGAGGAGGAATTATCAGGGAACAGCTCCTTCTGCCTGGCAGCGTCTGTTTGAGCCCGAGGTGTGGCTGTGCCTCCATGGCGGAGCGTTCAAAGGGCTGGGTGCTCTGGGAGCAGATTGCTCCTGCTAAAGCAATCAGCCGTGATGTCAGGCCTGGACTTCCGATAGCCCATCCCTGGAATTGCTGTTGGGCTCGGCTCTGTGGGGTGTTGGGCTCTTCCCCGAACAGGCAGAGCGGGGCTGGGAAACAGCTGCTCTCCAGGGAACTCTGTTCCTGCTATGGAAAACAGCTTTCCCTGGTGTTACTGTTCAATTTGCTCCTCTCAGGAGCTGCTGCCAGGTGAAACCTGCACATTCCCTGCTGGGCACAGCATTGGCCCCACATTTCCTTTCACTCCCAAGGGCAGGGAACCTTGGAGTGGGAAGTTGAGCTTCGGTCCTGCAGAGGCCGAGTGGCAGGAGCTGTTCCTGGGTGAGTCAGACAGAGTGGCCGTGAGCTGGGGCTGAACCCTCTTGGTGGTAACACATCCTTGTCATTAAAGCTGCCTTTAATTGGGTGCTGCAGCTCTCCCAACCTTCACCCACGTTTAGTCAGCGCTAGAGAGCTCCCTGCCCACCCCGAAGGAGAAACTGGGGAGGCAGAGAAAGCTGAAAGGGAGAAAGGAGTGAGCTGTAGGCTGCGCTCGGACCTGCAGTGCCACGGAGGCAGCAAGGTGACAGACAGTGACGAGGTGAGGAGTGGTGGCTGTAGCAGCAGGAACTGGTGGGATATGATGGATGATGGGCTTGTGGCTGCTTGGGGCAGGTCAGGGCCATGGGCAGGGACGCCTTCCACTATCCCATCGAGCCTAGCCTTGGACACTTCCAGGAATGTGGCATCCACAGCTCCTCTGGGATACCTGCGCCAGGGCCTCAGCACCCTCACAGGGAAGGATTTCTTCCCAATATCCTTTCCAGCCCTGAGCTCTGTCATTTCAAATCCACTCCTCCTTGTCCTGGTGCTGCAGTTCCTGATGAATCTGGAGCTGCAATGGCCACCTCTGATCATGGGATTGGTGTTTTCCATGGGCCTCTCCTGTCTGCTGCCCTCCAGGGAAGGGCGTGAGATTCCTGGATGTTTTTTCCTCCTGTGGTGTCCACCCTTATGTTAAATCCTGGAGTCTGTGCTCAGCCCCTGCCCCTGAGGGAGCCAGCTCTCACTGGTGCTGGGATTTGAGCCGGAACTGCAGGAAGAAATTCACGGTATCCCTCCAGTCCTTCCAGGGCTCAGGGTGGGTTTCTCAGTGGTAGAGGGGATGGCTTGGTGTTCCTGCAGCAGGCAGTGCCCCTGGGCTGGGACGGGAGGCGCCGTGGCCAGGCTGCTGTGGCTAATGACAGCCGGCTCCATCCCTTCTCTCGCCATGCTAATTTCTGTTGTTGTTTTTTCCAGGTGAGCTGTGGCACACCAGACCTGGAGTTTTAATGGTTTTATATAGTTTTTTTTTTAAAAGACGGATGGATGGATGAATGAAGAAGGATTTTAACAAAGGAAGGGGAAGGGAAAAATGGAGCTGTTTGGAACAAACTGAGGTTTCCCCCTTCACTGCCTGGGCCATGGGTGAGACAGAGCTGCTCAGCCCCACTTCCACCCTTTGGTGTCTGCTGGGGTTGTAAAGACGCTCCCTGAACACCCCCTTTTCATTCACCTGCTGGGAAATGGTTGCTGCAGAGAAGATTTAATGAAATTCCTGTTGCTCCCCAACTGCCAAGTGGATACTGAGCCCATGGAAGGGCCTGGGGGGTCAGGAGAAAGGAGCAAGTAGGAAAACCCACAATCCGCCAGACCTTCCCCTCCGCCCCCCTCGAAAGAAAGGATTTACAGCTCAACCTTGCACCAGCTGTTCCTCGGCTTTAACAGACAAGAGAGAAATAAATAAAATTAAACAGCCACCGCCAGCCAGCCCCAGATCCCGGTGAAATCAGGGAGAGTGTTTCCGTGACCCCTCCAGCGAGGGGAGGAGGAGGAGACACGGCAGCTCCGTGAGGAAGCTGGGATTGCTTGGAGACCACCCCCTCCTCCCGTGCAGCACCGGGGGCTGCGGCACAGCCGAGGCGGATTAAAAAGGAGAAGTGGCTGCCCTGAGGCTCCCGGAGTGGCTTTTTTGCAAGCAGTTCGCTGATCCTGTGCTCTTCTCGGGGTGCTGGCTGGCTGGGAAGCACCCTGCCCGAGCCTGGGGAATTCCCTCCCTTCAGAGCCTACCTGTGGGAGTCCTGTTCCCTGTAGGCTGCTGCCTGGACTGAGGCTTGGAAGGGCTCTCAGCATTCCCACTCCAACGGTTGTCCTAAGCCCAAATCCCTTCTCTGTTGTGAATTTTTAATGTTTTTAACCCTCCTTCCCTGCGCTTGTGAGCTCTCACGGGTCAGAGCTTAGAGTGGGCTCCTCTCCTGGGCCTCCCGCTCCAGACCCTTCTCCGGACTGTCCGCCCCAGTCGGAGCTCGCCCCAGGAGCAGGCACGGGGGCAGGGTAGGGGTCAGTCCCTGTCCCCCTCCCCTTCTCATCCTGCTCTGAGTCCCCTGGGGCCTGGGCTATGCTGCGGGGCGGACCCCCCACCACAGCTCCAACATGCCAGCAGCCTCCGGAAAGAGATTCAAACCCAGCAAATACGTCCCGGTCTCCGCTGCTGCCATCTTCCTAGTGGGAGCCACCACCCTCTTCTTCGCCTTCACGTGAGTCCCAGCTACTGGGCCAGAGCGGGGAGGGCTGGTGAGGACAGGGGACAGGAGCTGGGATTTCCTCTCAAAGGGAAGGGGATATTGTCCTCTGGGTGCTGCAGCCACAGCGGGAGCCATTTCACTCCATGAGTTTTCCCAGGGGAAATTGCATGCTGGCAGTCCTGGTGAGGCACCACTCAGCTCCAGGTCAGCTGGGTTGAGAACTGGTTTGTGACCTGTGGGTGGAAAACGCATGGCTCACTTTCTCCTTTGGAGCCAGGCGAGGTGGATTGGTGGGCTGGGGCAGGACACGTGTTATTTTTAGTTTCATAATCGATTTGTGAGCCATAAAGGAAAGTTCAGGGCGGAGAACTCTGACCCTTGTGCTGTGTTCAGTCCCCTGCCCTGGGGCAACGAGGGTTCCACGTCCCTGGAGAGGCCACCAGGGAAATGGCCAGCTGGTCACTGGGGCTTTGGGGGGCCACCATGCTGGGAGATGGTGCTGTGTACTGGAGAGGCGTGGTGACATCCCTGGGCTGCTGCTCTTCCCTGCCTGGTGACATGTGCCTTTGGTGACATGCCCAGGGGGTGACAGGCCGGGGAGCAGAACCTCGAGGTGCTGAGGGAGTCTGGCAGAGAGTGGCTGGCACTATGGCACAGTGTGCCAGGCAGGAAAGCCAGAGCATGGCAGCTGGAATGGCCACCAAATCCTGCAGGGCATCCCCGGGGTCTCAGTTGAGCTGTGTTTGGGGTTCTGGCAGGGTGTGGGAAGGACATCCGCTCTCTGCTTCAGGGAGCCTCTCCTGCTCCCTGGGGTTTTCCTGCTGGGGCCACAGGAATCAGCTGGAGCTGCGGGAGGCCAAAGGGACAGGTGCCATGGGTGCTGCCATTCCCTGGGAAGGAGCCATTGATGGTGGGAAGGTCAGTGTGGCTTTGGCAGCCACTGGACAGGGACAGGGGAACTTGATGACCAAAGAGGGGAGCAGGGTTGGTTCGCCCCATCCAACGCCCGGTGCAGCTGGCAGTGTCACTCAGCAGCATGTGGCTGTCCCCTTCTGGGACACCGAGTGGTCACCAGGCTCCCAGGCTCGGGATTTGGCTGCTCCAGGCTGCCAGATGCTTGCGGAAGTCCCTGACTGTTCCTCCTGTGCCAGGGGGATGAAGGAGAAGCAGAAGGAACAGGCGGTGCCCTCCGAGCTGCGTGTGCCACCCTGTGTGTGACCTTAGGGGACAGGCTGGCTCTGTTTTGGCACAGTGGCTGCTGGACAGCTGGACCCCGAGCCCATCCCAGCCGTGGGTGCCAGCAGTGCCGGGAGCAGCCGCTTATCAGCGGGCGGTGAGAAGCAGCGCCGGAGCTGGCGCCGCGGAGCAGGTTTGGCCGGGGCAGGAACACCTGGGCAGGTCGCTGCAATTGCAGGTCAGCGATGTTGTTTATCCGACTTCGGAACATCCCTTTAAACCCCAGGCACGGCGTTCACACGGGCTCGGCTGTGAGGGAGCCGCGCTGCTCCCCGCGGGATGGCTCCTGTGGGACAGGGTCTGCCTGGTGCTGGAGAAGGTTGGCAGGGACGTGGGGCTCGAGGTTGGCCTGCTGCGTGGTCCTGGGGGCCACTGTGCCCCTTCCTGCCTGGTCAGCAGCAGACCGGCTGCTGAACCCCTTCCCCCTGCCAGCATCTGACCTAAGGCTGGTCCTTTGGGAAGTGCAATGGAAGCTGTGAGGATGGGCTCTTGGAGGCCTCCCCAAAACAGGGAGCAGCCAGGGGTCGGCACAGCTCTTAAGGCTCCAGTTGCATTGCTTCCAGCCTATCCACTGGATGCCTTTTGGTCCATCCAGGATTTGTATCTCTGGGCCAAGAACTCTCTTTAATTGATTAATTTAATTAGGAACTGCTGCTGAGCACGTGGCTGTGGAAATGAGGCCGGTTGCCCTGGAGGGGGGGGCAGCAGGAAAGGGGATGTTCCTGCCTCCCCCTGGGATGAGTGGGGGTCTCAGGCTTGCTGGGCTCTCAGATGGGTGCTGATTTAGGATGGAAATTGCCCCTTGGGGTCCATTTGTCCATTCCTGCATCTCCCCACTGACTGGTCCCAGCTCCTGGTGCAGCTGGTTCTCGGGTTCATTGTCCCCTCCCTGGGGCTGGCAGTGCCACTGGGGCACAGTGTCATGCCCGCTCCCAGTCACATCCAAACTTGTGTGAGGGTCAGGGTGAGCAGGGATTGTGTTTGTGCCGAGGCCTTTGGGGAGCTGGAGAGCCAGTGGGTCCAAGTCCCAGGGAGCAGGCAGGAGGGGAGGCTGTGCCTGGGAGAGTGCAGGGCCTGAGGGGCTGGGGAAGGGATGCCAGCAGGGAGGGACAGGCTTCTCCGGGTGTGACTGGTAGCCAAAATCCCGTCTCATCCCGGTGTGACTCATGGTGCCTGAGGTTCCCCAAGTCCTCTCATCTGCTGCCAGGGACAAGTCCCGACAGCTCCTCTGGCCATGAGTGTGTTGCATCCCGATCCTGAGGGGGAACCCGATGGGTGATGCGGGACCTGCGTGGCTGGTGATGATGAGGAGCCTCCCTCCTGCTCCTCGTTCTCCTGCCCCATGTGCCCTGGGGTCCAGGCAGGGCCTGCAGCCCCACACTCTCTGTTCAAGAGAGCAAAAAGCAGGAACACATCACTCTCCTGATAAGGAGGTTCCCTCAGGGATGGGCAGCACCTTTGCTCCCTGTGGAGGACCCTGATCCCTCCAGCAGGTGGGGATGATCCCAGGATGTGACTCCATGGCTTTGGGGTCACCAGCATGGTGCCACCAGGTAGTCTGGCTCCAGGGGGATTCCCACAGCATAGGGGTCCCTGTGTGTGAGGGAGCCGGGAAAGCAGCAGGTCCTGGTGTTCCTTAGGGAGAATCTTGTGCTTGCCCTGGCCCGTGAATCCTACCCAGGATCTTGTCAGTGTGTCTGAGCCCAGGGACCTGCTGGGCACTGTCCTGCCCCAGGAGCTCTGTGTCCCTCCAGGAAGGACTGGCTGCTGGGACAGCACAGAGATGTTAACTTCCCCTGGTCCTTCCCTCTCTGTGTGCCCCAGAGCTTTCCGAGGCAGCTGGATCCTTCCCTGCCTCCCTGGGCTCTGTCTCTCAGGATCCAGGCCGTGTGCTTGGCTCAGCCTGGCTGTTGGCTGTTCCCTGTTTGGGATGGCTGCCCGGGCATGGGTCTTCCTGGCTCCCCTCCATCTCTTTCAAGCATACATTTGGGCTGGGATTTCCCTTCCTGGAAAGAGGAGCTCCTTCTACACAGTTCCTGGAAGGGCATTTCCTCCTCTGAGCCCCCTGGCCCTCTCTGTCAGCAGAGAGCAGAGCCAGGGAGGCTTCTCTCAAGTGGAGTAGGAGCTCAGCTCAGGGACATGGGGTCCTCGGTTCTGGTGTGTCCTCACTCTCTACAACCCCCTGACAGGAGGGTGTGGCCAGGTGGGGTTGGGCTCTTCTCCCAAAGAACAAGTGATGGGACAAGAGGAAGTAGCCTCAGGTGGTGCCAGGAGAGGTTTAGTTTGGATGTTAGACAAAATTTCCGCATGGAAAGGGTTGTTCAGCCCAGGCCAGTGGTGGAGTCACCAAAGAACATGTGGCTGTGGCACTTGGGGACATGTTTCAATGGTGGCCCTGACAGTGCTGGGGAAGCAGTTGGAATCGGTCTTGGAGGGTTTTTCCAACCTGAACAATTCCGTCATTCCATGACTCCGTGATTCATCCTTTGCTCGGGCTGTGGCCTGGTGCTGTTCTGTAGGTCCTGTGCCTCCAGCACTGCTCTCCGAGGGTTTTGGGGCACAGATTGGAGAGGACTCCTCCTATGCAGAATCCTCCTGGCTGGCTTCCAGAGGAGGCAGCAGGGCCGGCATGGCCGCTTGAGGAGCCGCTCCCCAGCCCGGGGCAGAGCTCGGGGGGCTGGGCCGGGAGATGCTGGGATGCCATCCCAGGAGATGCCATCCCAGGAGATGCCAGCCTGATATGGAGCAGGGAGGCAGCAGCCAGGGTGCCCAGCAGGGCGGCTCCTCAGGAACAAGGGAGGAAGAGGCTTTCGGGAAGGTGGTCTGCAGGAGGAGCTTGATGTGGTGTGTGGGGCCTGGGGGAACCAGAGAGGAGGAGGAGGAGGAAGAAGAGTGTGGTGGGTGGCTTGGCCATGCTGTCCTCCTTGCCAGGGATGTCCTGCAACAAAAAGTCTGCCCTCCTGCTCTCTCATCCCTGTGCCTGGATGGGGACAGCCTCAGCCTTGGCCTGTGAGACCAGGTCCCACTGATGATTCCCACCCTCCCAGGGGCACGGAGCAGTGCCTGGTGCTGGGAGCGCCCTGCCCACCTCGGCCTCTGTGCTGCCAGGTGTGTGCTGGAAGGGTGTGCCCGCTTCTCCTGCCCTCCTGGGGCAGTCCCCCTGGCACAGCTGCTGCTCCTCACCCAGGAGTGCCCCCCTGCCCTGTCAGGGCACTGAACTGGGACAGAGCCCTGCACCAAGGGCTCGTTCCCAGCTGGAGCATTGCCATGGCTCTCAGACCTGCTGTGACAAGGACGGGGCTGCCTCACCCGGCAATGGGACCCGGCTCTGTGGGTGGTGGTGGAGGAGGGGACAGGGCCAGCGCCTGCCCCTTCACCCCAACCTGCGGGGGATTACGGCGCTGGCACCATATGTCGCCCTGCCCGCCTAGCCCCATGCTGCTCCGGCCACCTAAATCCATCGGCACTTAGCCCGGTGGGGGGAAGAGAGGGACAGATGCTGCCCTAGATCTGTGGGATTAAATCCCAGCAGCAAAGCAGATTAGGGAATTACGCTGGCGCCTGCAAGGGGGAAGCCCACTGTCCTGAGCCTGCCTGCTGGGGCAGGAGGGAGCAGGGTGATTCCCTCACTGTGCTGCCACAGGCTTTTTGGAGGAGCTGGGTGCTGGCTGGGGTCCCCATGTCATGCTAGAGCTGTCCCTGGGATGTGAGGAGCATGAGTGGCTCTGGAGGCACCAAAGCTGGTGCTGGTTTCATGTTCCCTCCCTCACAGGGTCCCCTCTGCCCCTGAGCAGCTGGTGGGACACAGGGAGGATGACACTGTGCTTTCTGGCAGGTCCTCTGGGTGCCCCCCATGCCATTGGCCTGGTTTTCTCTGTTCCTAGCACCACTATTCTGTAGAACCCTCCAGTTGGATCCCAAAGGGGAGTTTTGGTCCCTGAAGGATGCCTGGAGCACATCCTACTGTGGCCCCCACGTGCTCCCCAGGCTGGGGTCAGGCTGTGCTGCAGCAGTGGCTGCAGTGTGGGTGTGGGATGCACTGCAGGGAGGTGGCAGGAGTGACACAAGTGAGGAGTCCGAGGGTCTCACAGCTGCTGTGCCCGCAGGTGCCCGGGGCTCAGTCTCTACGTGTCCCCCATCATCCCTGCCTACAATGCCGTCGTCTTCCTCTTTGTACTGGCCAACTTCAGCATGGCCACCTTCATGGACCCAGGCATATTCCCACGAGGTGAGTCTGGCTCTGGCTGGGAAGAGCTGCCTCCTCGCACCCTTCCTCCAAGGTAAAGGGAATTTCTGGGTCCCAAAAGGCTGGCGAGGAGCCTTCCTTGCCCTGCCCAGTGGGATCAGGCAGTGACAAGCGCTACAGGGATGGCAGCTCTGGGTTCAGCATCCCATGTTGGGTCCCTGGGGCTCAGGCAGTGTCAAGATCCTGGAGCAGGGTCTGGGAGAGCCCCTGTGTTTGGGGCTCCCTGGCTGTCCCTGTGCCAGGGGACAGGAAGGTGATGCCGGGAGCCTTCGGCTCGGGCAGGCAGGGGCTGGCCAGGCCCTGATGCCGTGCCGGGGTGTCCCCATCAGCTGAGGAGGACGAGGACAAAGAGGACGATTTCCGGGCCCCGCTGTACAAGACTGTGGAGATCAAGGGCATCCAGGTGCGCATGAAGTGGTGCGCGACCTGCCGCTTCTACCGCCCGCCGCGCTGCTCCCACTGCAGCGTCTGCGACAACTGCGTGGAGGTGAGGAGCTGCCGGGGCCTCCGCCAGCCCCCCGCGGGGTAGGGAGCCCCGGGAGCACCCCCTCACCGAGCCCCATCCCCGGCAGGAGTTCGACCACCACTGCCCCTGGGTCAACAACTGCATCGGGCGGCGCAACTACCGCTACTTCTTCCTCTTCCTGCTGTCGCTCACCACGCACATCATGGGCGTCTTCGGCTTCGGGCTGCTCTACGTCCTGTACCAGGTGGAGGAGCTCTCCGGCGTCCGCATGGCCGTCACGTATCCTCCTGGGCAGCGTGAGCGGGCAGGGGGTGCGGGGGTCTGGGGGCAGCGCGGTGCAGAGCGGGGCTGTGGCTGCTCCTTAGCTGGCTGCGGCAGGATGGTGGTGATGTGCGTGGCTGGGCTCTTCTTCATTCCCGTCGCTGGCCTGACAGGCTTCCATGTGGTGCTCGTGGCCAGGGGCCGCACTACCAACGAACAGGTACGTCCAGGGGACTGTCGGGGGACTGCCAGCCTGGCCAGGCCACCTATGGATACATTTTGGGATTTCCCTGGAGAGGATGGGTGTGGACAGGCTGGACTAAAACTGGGTGAGGCCCCTGAGCTGGGGAGGTAGAGCACAGGGTGACTGAGAGGCAGCTGCATCCATGGGGGTGCAGTCAGAGGATGGAGACAGGTGGGCACTCTAGGGGCCCAGGAGGCGAAATTGAGGAGACCTGACCCCCTCAAGGATATGTGAGCACTGAAACAGGCACCAAGAAAAGGAGCAGGGTCTTGGAGTTCTCCATCCTGGTCCTGGGGGGTTGTCCTTAGGGAGCTAGCGTGGCTGGCTGTGACACTCCTTTGTCCAACAGGTGACAGGCAAGTTCCGCGGGGGCGTCAACCCCTTCACCAATGGTTGCTGTAAGAACGTCAGCCGGGTCCTCTGCAGCTCCCCAGCACCCAGGTGAGCCTGGCCTCTGCATCCCTGGAAAAACTGCTCCATCCCAGGCTTCAGGCCCTGACCTTCCTCCCCCTGCTCCCCAGATACCTTGGGCGCCCCAAGGCTGAGCAGACAGTGCTGGTGAGACCCCCGTTCCTGCGGCCCGAGGTGTCGGATGGACAGATCACTGTCAAGATCATGGACAATGGTATCCAGACAGAGCTGAAAAGGACGAAGGTGAGGAAGGTGGGGACCAGCGCTGCCTGCGCTGGGGCCCTCCACGGAGCCCAGGGGTGCAAGCCTGCATCCGTGAGTAGAGAACCGAGTGAGCCTGGTCACGTTCCCTGTCCCCCTCCATGTCGTCTTGTTCTGTGTCCCCGTGGCATGGAAACTGTCCTCCTCCCATGTGGCAGTGACCACATGAGGCTTTGCCCCCTCCATTGCCCTTACTGGTCCCATCCTTCCTCACCATCTGCAGGTTCCCCCTCCTTGGCACTTCCAGCACCCACCCGGGGCACGCACTGCCCCCTGTTCTGTCAGATGGCCCGGGAAGCAGCGGGAGCCCCCAGCACCACTGTCCATGCCCTGCCAGCCCGGGGGGGCTGAGGCCTCGGCCCCTCCTGACCCTGCCTGCGCTTTGTCTCTGCAGTCCAAGGGGAGCCTGGAGGTGACGGAGAGCCAGTCTGCTGACGCCGAGCCGCCACCCCCACCTAAGCCCGACCTCAGCCGCTACACGGGCCTGAGGACACACTTAACCCTGGCCACCACTGAGGGTAAGGAGGGCACCAGGGCCCTGGCAGCCGCTGGGAGGGGAGCCCAGGGCTGCAGCAGGCAGACCAGGAGCGAGGGCCATAGGGCAGACCTGGAGCACGTCGGCATTCCTGGGCTGGTGTCTGTGGCCCCTTGCACTTGGAGAAGCCTGCGGGGGATGCTCACAGTCAGCTCTGCTCTGCCGGAGGCCGAGCCAGCATGACGCTGCCTGAAGCCACCAGGAGCTGTGCCTTGCAGCCACCGTGCTGCCAGGATGGAGGAGGCGAAGTGGTGGCGGGCCTGGCTCAGCGGCACAGAGCATCTATGTCTGGCTCCGTGTGGGCCTGGCCAGAGGTGGGATGTGATGGGCAGAGCCTGTGGCAGCTGCTTTCTGCAGCAGCTGGAGACCCCACAGCTCTCCCAGCCCGGTCGGGGGTCTGCTGCCCGGTGAGGCCTGTGGTGTGTCTGCTTCCCATTGAGCTCCCTGACACCCCCGTGCCATGCACCCCCAAGGTGTCACCCAGCCGGGGCTGCCGCAGGGGCACGGAAGTGCCAGCCCCACACATGTGGCTGTGGGGAGAATCCTTCCTCCTGGTCTGTCTCTCCCACCCCAGTGCACCTCCCCTGCAGCCCGTCCCTGTCCCTGGTCTGTCGGCCCCAGGCTCGGAGTCGGTTCTGAGGCAGGGAAGGCGGGGCTCGGCGCGTTCCTTGCCCGCAGCCGCGCTGAGCGTGCCCCTCTCTCCCGGCGCAGACAGCGGCTTGCTAAGCAAGGACAGCCCCCCGACTCCCACCATGTACAAGTACCGGCCCGGTTACAGCAGCAGCAGCAGCTCGGCGGCCCTGCCCCACTCCACCAGTGCCAAGGTAAGGCTGAGCCCAGCACAGGGGACCAGCCCTGAGGGGATGCCACCCCATTCCTAATGTGGGAAGGGTTTAGGGCATGCATTGGGAACTCCATGAGGAGGCCCCATGGTCATTCTTTGCTGTCCCTCTGCCCCTCAGCTGAGCCGAGTGAACAGCCTGAAGGAGCCCAACTCCATCTGTGACAGCGGCCACAAGCCCAGCTACCGCTCAGAGCCAAGCCTGGAACCAGAGAGCTTCCGCTCACCCACCTTTGGCAAGAGCTTCCACTTTGACCCTCTCTCCAGTGGCTCCCGCTCCTCCAGCCTCAAGTCAGCCCAGGGCACGGGCTTTGAGACGGGCCACCTGCAGTCTATCCGCTCAGAGGGCACCACCTCCACCTCCTACAAGAGCCTGGTGAACCAGACGCGCAACGGCAGCCTCTCGTACGACAGCCTGCTCACGCCCTCCGACAGCCCCGACTTCGAGTCGGTGCAGGCGGGCCCGGAGCCCGAGCCGCCGGTGGGCTACACCTCGCCCTTCCTGTCGGCCCGCATCGCCCAGCAGCGAGAGACCGACCTGCACGGCCGCTTCGCCAGCGCTGCCTCCCCCAAGCACGCGGCGCCACGCGAGCCCTCGCCCGTGCGCTATGACAATCTCTCCCGCCACATCGTGGCCTCCATCCAGGAGCGGGAGAAGCTGCTGCAGCAGCCGCTGGCCCCGGGCCGGGAGGAGGATGCGGGGCTGGCGGACTCGGGCATCCAGTCAACACCGGGCTCCAGCAACGCCCCCCGCACCAGCTCCTCCTCGGACGATTCGAAGCGCTCGCCCCTGGGCAAGAACCCGCTCACCCGCCCGGCCCTGCCCCGCTTCGGCAAGCCCGAGCCCCCCCCGGCTCTGCGGGTGCGCTCGCTGGGCTCCCCCGACCAGCCCGCCGCCCCCCACCTGGGCAAATCCGTGTCTTACAGCAGCCAAAAAACAGCCTCTCAGGCCGGCGGCCCCGAGACCGAGGAGGTGGCCTTGCAGCCCTTACTGGCACCAAAGTGAGTACCGTGATGGCACACGGGCGTCTGTGGCCTGTGGGGACACCCCCACATAGTGTCCCTCCAAGCCCCTGGGGTAGCAGAACAACCCTCCCTGGGGAAAGATGCTGGGAAGAGCAACTGAAATCTTCCTGCTCCTCTGAGAGCTGGTGCCTCCCACACCTCCTCAGTCACCCCATGGGTCCCTTGGAATCCGGCGTGGGTGCTGGTGGTCCCTGGGGTGGGCAGGGCTGTGGCAATACTGGGTGCCAGTGACCTGTCCCCCCTTCTGACCCCATGTCTGTGCTTCCTTCCCACAGGGACGAGGTGCAGATGAGAACAGCCTACAGCAAGTCCAACGGGCAGCCCAAGAGCCTGGGCTCAGCCCCACCGGGCCCGGGGCCGGTGCCCCTCAGCAGCCCCACCCGCGGAGGTGTCAAGAAGGTCTCGGGTGTGGGGGGCACCACCTACGAGATCTCGGTATGAGGGGCAGAGCCGCGCCCCCTCCCCTCCTCCCCGGCGGCCCCCAGGGACCCGCCGTGCCGACGCTTGTGGACTCCCGGGAGAGCCGGGTGGGTCCCCCCTGCTCCTCCCTCTGCCCCCCAGGCCACGGGGGCTGGCACACACCCACGGGGGGCTCGGGGAGGGCTCGGGGGGGACCGCAGCCCTGGCACCGCCTCGGCTGCGCCAGCCACTTGTGGGCCTTGTGCAATCACCCGCTCGCCTGGCGTGGTAGGAACGGATTGTTTTTAAACCAGAATACTTTTTTTTATTATTATTGTTACGGATTCTATTTTTTTTCTCTTTCCGAGTTACCAGGTGTGTGTATATATAAATATCTATATATATAAATATAAATATTAAAAGAAAAAAAAAGAAGCAGAAATTATATATCTTACCCAGAGAGAGGAAGAAACTACCCTGCTCAGGACCTGGGCCCCCCACCTTGTCCCTGTCCCCAAAGGAGGGACGTGGGGCTGCCTCCTGCACCCATGGAAGGAGCTGTGGTAGGTGCTGGGTGTCACTGTTCCTCCCTGAAGGGGGCCATTGGGTGCCAGATACCCATCCTCGGACACTCCCCTCCCTGATCCATGGTGTCCACAGCCTCCAGCCCCCCTGGGGGGCCCAGGGTGGAGGTAGGGTGGGGACAGCACCCCACACCCCCATCCCAAGCTGGTGCAGAAGCCCCAGTGTCCCCCACCCGCAGTTTTTGCTCTTTCTTTCCCCAGGTGCTGTGGTCGGGGGGGTTGTTGGTTTTGTTGCCTTTTTTTGTTTCTGTTAATGATTCCGAGGAGGTTTCTCGCTGTCGCAGGGGTGTTTTTATTTCCGCTCGCTCGGGGAAGAGGCAGGTGCATCCCCGGAAAGCAATATTTTCTCATCACATGCCAAAAAAACACAGCCAAGGAGCCTCGTGCTCCCTGTCCCCAAAGCCCTGCCGGCACTACCGGACTCTTTCTCTACGGCAATAGCTCCCGTGGCCCCGCACAGCCACGCCAGGGTTTTTTATTATTATCAGCCATTTTAAAAACAAGGAATAAAAGGATATTTAATGAGCCACCCCGGGGCCGTGCGTGTGCTTTGTTTGGTGTCCAGGGATGGAGCAGCCCCTCCAAGACTCCTGATCCTCAGGGTTTCAGCCTTGCCCCCCCTCCCGAGGGAGAGAGAGAAGGGGGTCTGGTAAGAGCTGAGCCTGGCCCAGTTCTGGGGGGGCTCCAACTTGAGGCAAACTCTGCTCCCACAGAAGGTAAGGATTTTCCAGGCATGGGAAAAGAGGCTCCAGGGAAAGTATCGTGGGTGCTGGTGAGGTTTCGGATCCAAAGGAGGGCACCTGCACGTTCCAGGGACACCTTTGTTTGGGGCTCCACTGTGACAGCTAAGGGTCACAGCAGCCATGGCCACCAGCCCCTCCTCACAGCAGAGTTTAAAAGGTGACTAAAAAAGAGGCTTTGATGCTCCAGGTTCTTCAGGTACAAAAGCCCAAGGTCAGCACCCACAGAGTCTGTGCCCCTGGTGCTGGGGGGCTGCAGGGGTGTCCTCTTAGCCGGGGGGACAGGCCAGCCCCAGTGTCCCTGGGGTCAGCCGGGGCTGTTCCCATGGGCCAGGGGATCCCCAGGGCGTCACCGGCGTGGTTTCACCGTAAGCTGCTGCTGGCCTGGGAGCTGCCCACCCCAGGGTGCTCCGGGCTGTGCCGGTTCTGCAGAGGAAGGACAGACAGAAACTGTGAGAGCTGCTGGGCAGCAGCCCCTTGGGGATGGCAACTCACAGCGCCCCTCCAAGATCCACGGGCTGGGCACTGCACCCCAGCCTTGCCACTCACCTTCTTTTTCTTCTTCTCTTTCTTCTTCCTCTTCCGCTCTGGATCCTCCTCTTTTTTCTTCTTTTTCTTCTTGTGGTCGGAGTCTGAGGGGGTTTCTGGAGAAGCGGAAGCGCCGGATGAGCCGATGCTCTGCCGGTGCTGAAGGGGAGCAGGGGAGCGGCTGTGGCAGCCTTACCTGGGGGGACGGGGTCCTGCGTGCGGCTCTGTTTGTGCTTGTGCTTGTTCTTCTTCTTAGGCGGCTGGATGTGCATCAGCCGGCACTGCTCGGGCAGCTGTGGAGAAAAAGGACTGGTCAGACCACGCCGGGCCCCTCCCGCCCCTCCGGCTCCACAGCCCGGGGCTCACCGGGCCGGCGTGCAGGCGGAAACCGGTCAGCATGGCACCCGTGAGCGGCGTGAAGGAGCTGCCGCAGATGGGCGGCTTCTCGATGAGAGAGCGCAGGCTGCTGCTGTCGTGGGAGCCGGGCAGGTCGATCATGCCGGGCAGGTCGGGGAGGAAGTTGCTGAGCTTCTCCTTCACCTTCTTGCCGCAGAACTTGTTGTAGGCGTGCTCCAGGTTATAGTGTGTGATCAAGTTGGTGCTGCCCGTCAGCTCCGTAGTGCCTGTGCGGCCGCAGGAGAACTTGGGGCGGGGGAAACGCCCCGACGGCAGCCCAGGCCCCTCTCCCCAGCCGAGCCGAGGCTCCCGGACCCCCTGCAGCCCCCGAGCACCGGGACCCCCGGCCCCGGGGCCCCCCCGCCGCCCACTTCCCCACCGGACCGCGCGTTGCGCGGCCCCGCCCCCGCAACCTCATTGGCTCCTGGCGCCGTCAGTTTCCCCCGCGGCCGCGTTTCGCCGCGCTGATTGGCCGAGCGCGGAACCCGCCCCGCCCCGCGGCCCGCCCGCACCTGGCAGCTCTCGCAGCAGGTAGAAGGGGCCGCCGGCGGCCTTGCGGGCCGCGTCTTCGCCCGGCGGCGGCGCGGCGGCCGAGGCAGCGGGCGGCGGCGCGGTTCCGGCACCCGGCGCCTTGGCGGGCCCGAATCCGAGCGCGGCGGCGGCGGCGGGCGGCGGCTCGGCCGCGCCGAACAGCGCCGAGAAGTTCTCCATGTTCCCGGCGTGCCCCGCGCCGGGCCGCCCCGCCCCGCCATTGGTCGAGCGCCGCCCCCACATCGCCCCTGCCCCCCGTTGCTAAGGGAGACCCATCCCAGCCTTCTGATTGGCCGCTCCCCTCTCTCCTCTCATTGGTCCGCGCGCGCGGGAGCGCCCGCCTCGCCGCTCGCCATTGGCCGGCGCGAGAGGCCCCGCCCCCGGCAGTGAGCGGGGCGGAGGGAAGATGGCGGTGGTGGCGCCGCTGCTGGCGCTGCTCTGGGGGCTGCCCGGGCTCTGCCGATGGCTCGCCCAGCCCTACTACCCGCTCTCCGCGCTGCTCGCCGCCGCTTTCCTGATTGTGCGCAAGGTCCCGCCGCTCTGCCGCGGGCTCCCCTCGCAGCGGGAGGATGGCAACCCTTGTGACTTTGACTGGGTGAGGCGGTGCGGCCTGTCCCCGGGCCTGTCCCCGCATCCCTGGGCTGTCCCCGGTCCTGTCCCCACAGCCCCGGCCCTGGCTTGGCTCCCCTCCTGCTCACACAGCACCCCGGCCTGGCTGAGAGAGGAGTTGCCCGGTAGCCCCTGGCGATGCTCTGCGGTGTTCCCTTACAGCCGAGAGGCACCCCCAGGCTCTGGTCCGGCTCGTGGCCCCAGGGCAGCCCCTCTGCTCGCTGTTCTCATCCCGGGGGGGATGAAGGCTCTGGGCTGTGGCCTTGGGACCAGTAGGGCCTGGCACGGCCACGGGTCCCTGTGCCAGGCCAGGCATGGCTTCAAGGTGTCCTGGGCACTTCCAGCTAATGCTGTCCCTTCTTTGTGCCAGAGGGAGGTGGAGATCCTCATGTTCCTCAGCGCCATTGTCATGATGAAGAACCGGCGCTCCAGTGAGTCAGGGGGACTTGGGGGGCTGGGGCTGCTTATGGGGTCTCCTTCAAGGAGCACGGGGTGGTGTCTGGAGGACCAGATCCAGCCCTCCCTGAAGTTTCCCCCAGCCTTCTGGGGGCATCTGGTCCCATGCCTTATTCCTGTCTCCACATCACAGTCACCGTGGAGCAGCACATCGGAAATATTTTCATGTTCAGCAAAGTGGCCAACGCCATCCTGTTCTTCCGCCTTGACATCCGCATGGGGCTGCTCTACCTCACTCTCTGCATAGGTGAGCCTGCATGTCTTCTTGCCCTAGATCCGCCTTCTCCTGGCTCCCCCTTACTGCTCTGGGGTGGAGGAGCTCTGTCCCAGGCCCAGCCTGGCCCTCCTGGCACTGGGGGGCTCAGGGTGCTGTCATTCCAGTGTTCCTGATGACCTGCAAGCCACCCCTTTACATGGGCCCCGAATACATCAAGTACTTCAGTGACAAGACCATCGATGTGAGTATCTCCCCAGCCCTGGGGCTTTTGGTGGTCTCTGCCCTCGCCCCCCTAAGCCCATGCCCCTGTGGCAGGAGGAGCTGGAGAGGGACAAGCGGGTGACATGGATTGTTGAGTTCTTTGCCAACTGGTCCAGTGAGTGCCAGTCCTTTGCCCCCATCTTCGCCGACCTCTCTCTCAAGTGAGTGGCACCCACTGGAATCTTGGGGGTAACGGGGCCTGTGGTCCCCTGTGTCCCTCACTGCCCTGTGTCCCCATCCTGCCCAGGTACAACTGCTCAGGACTCCAGTTTGGGAAGGTGGATGTTGGCCGGTACACGGACGTCAGCACCAGGTGTGGGGAACGCAGCCTGGGCAAGCAAGGCTCGCTCTGGGGTAGTCCCTGTGACCCTCCTGCCTTCTCAAGCTGCCCGAGGGTCACTGTGGGCTTGTCCTGACACAGGTACAAGGTCAGCACCTCGCCTCTCACCAAGCAGCTGCCCACCCTCATCCTCTTCCAGGGTGGGACAGAGATCATGCGGCGACCGCAGATAGACAAGAAGGGCCGGGCTGTGTCCTGGACCTTCTCTGAGGTGGGTGGGACCCTGCAGCCCTCTGTTCTCCTGTCCAGCCTGTGCCTGGGAAGAAGGGGGGAGCACAAGGTCCCAGTGGTGCTGATGCTACCTCCTGGCCACAGGAGAATGTGATTCGGGAGTTCAACCTCAACGAGCTCTACCAGAAGGCCAAGAAGCAGTCGAAGCCGCAGGAGGAGGGACCTGAGGAGCCCCCAGCCGTGCCCGCTGCAGCTCAGGAGACCAAGAAGGACAAGTAGAAGCTGCCCTGTACTGTCGCCCATCACTATGTCACCATCAGCCTGGTGGCAGCGGCCCCGCGGGCCTGCCCAGCCCCGCCCGGAGCCGCTCTCCATGCGGACTTGTCCCGGCTGAGACCCGGGAAAGCGGCGGTGCCCCCCGGCCCCGTGCGGGCAGGGCGGTAGGAGGGGCCCCGCCTCGGTTAACGCTCGCTCATCATCCATCGCTGACAATAAACGGTCCGTGCCGTGTCCCGTGTCCGTGTCC